AATCTGATTGGTATTGTTTCAAGGCTGTTGTTCTTTTGTTTTACGTTATCTGTGTCCGGTACACAAAATAAATGCCCAAACTCCCATCACAACCCATTTATTGCATGAATTTCTCGTGAATGTAAAGCAGAGAATGGCTTGATCTTATACATCTGCTTGTCGTCAATATCCTGCTGATGGAACATGTTTAACTTCGGTGAATATGCAGAAATATGTCACCTCCCTGTGACTTCTTTGAAAGAGTCCAATTTTCCCTCACTTATACAAAAATACCTGACTCGGTAAATTGTCTTTTACGGGTAAAAGAATAATCAAATTTTCGTGGCATTGTAACAGATGTCACACACTCATATTGTGAGGAGATCCGAAAAACAGATGGTCTTTTCGAATAAATAGGATCTAAAATAGGAGGCTAGCAATAATAAATTTTTGTTATGTTTGACTTAAAAGACACAGCTGTGTTTATGTATAAGGCCGCTAAACATAGATATATATATTTTTACATGGGATGGTTTTGGAGAAGTAAATGTAATAAAAATTGTAAGCGTAAATTTTGTTCTGTAAGGACTTTGTTTACAAATGGAACGCTTTCCTACATGTCACAAGGCATTACCGAACAATACTCTTCGTTTGTTTTTAAGCTCTCTTCAGCGACCACTGAGGGTCTTTGTTAGAAAATATTGCGTCATTGTGGCGGGAAAACTCGTCACGTGATCTGAGAACTGAACTTTGTAGGAGAGTCTAGGAACTGTGTAGTCGTTCGGAGTCGTGATGCCGATCGAGTGGGTAGATTGAGTGTAGATCATCGAATTTTTACGCGAATTGATGTCGATGAATCCTTTAAGTGTAGAACAGAGTACAGAATTCTAAAATATGAACATGATGAACATGTAAAGAAATATGCCTTAATGGAGTGAAGAATTAAAGCTACAGAGAACTGATTGTATCACACATAATTTGTGACTGTCTTATTCATATAAATCAACGCTTAAGTCCAAAAATGATCATGGTTATAAAACCTCTTATTTGAAAAGTACTCTTAACCTGAACTCAAATTCCAAAAATGAAGCATTTTCGTTAAATAGAAGCGGAGAAAACGGAGGCCAAATTTATTTTTAGCGAAATTATCTACAATTCTATGCTTTGGTTATCAGTATACATTCAACCTTATCTTTAGCAAGTACCTTTCTATTTTTTCTATACATGTGGTTAAAATAATGTTATCGTTTTTGATCAAACCGGCCACCCCCTAGGACCAGGCTCTCCTTGCAGGGGGGAAAAGGCACAAAACGGGGTCGAATAACAGTTTTGCACCACATCAAGACTCTGCATGACGTTTCTCCTGGTGCTGAAACAGCGGCACAAGAAAGCAAGTTATCAAAGTCAAGTATACTAACCGAATACCAAGACTGTTGTGACAAACTGGGCCGGTTACTAGGGGACAACTACCACATGAAGCTGATATTGACAACTCCTTTGCAGTCGTTCACCCCCGCGTACGGTCCCAGTCCATATACTTCTCTTATAAAAGCTGATAGCTGATGACGTCATCCCCCAACCGACTGACTGCGTCATTTCTATCGTGTGCAAGATCAAAGAAACCCCTTATGGAGAGTAGAAAGTAAGGCTGTGTCTCAATCCAAGGGATCTAAAAAAAACTAAACAATAACTGGCATCGAGAATACTACCAGGACATATACCAGGCCCCAGTTGTTCAAAAGGTGGATAGAGCTATCCGCTGGATAAATCGCTATCCAGTGGAAACGCAATTGATTTCCCAAATACTTATCCGCTGGATAGTGATTTATCCGGTGGATAGAGCTATCCAACGTTTGAACAACCGGGCCCAGGACCATCAATGAAGCTACCTCTGTTCCGTGGGAAGAAGAACTTCTCCGTTGTAGATACAAAGAAAGGGTACTGGCACGTGGAATTAGATTACCCATCCAGCCTACTGTGCACCTTTAATACCCCTTCCGGGAGGTACCGATTCATGAGATTACCCTTCGGAGTCGTCGTTTCCCCAGATGTCCTCCAACACAAACTCGAGGTATCAGTTCAGAAAGACATTTTGCTAGTTTATGCACTTAAATTTTTTCGGAATTCTGGCGGGTCGGTGTGGTAGTTTAAAGATACGCACGAGAGATTAGGTTACGAAAGGTGCGGGTTTGACACTGGGTTGCGATCTCCTTTCTTTCTAATAGAAACCACACTCAATAACAGGTCAAAAATTTTCTTCTAAGTGTCTTAAAAATGGCAGCGACGCTTACGAAAGGGAAATTTGCTGCGGTAAAATCCTTACAACAGACACTTACCATCAACCCTTTACTCAGCGATCTGTTCCTTTTCAAAGCGTTCAGGGTAGCAGAGATAAAACCTCCGGCTCAGGTTCGTTCAAACGTTAGATAGCGCTATCCACCGGATAAATCACTATCCAGCGTAAAAGTATCCGCTGGATAGTGATTTCAGTCCGGTGGATAGCGTGATCCAACGTTTGAACAACCAGGGCCTGGTTCTTATGGAGATCTCAAAATCTGGGGACTTCATCTTCTGTATTAACGACCCCCTCGCCAAACCTCCGAAGCACCCCCCGACCCCACCACCGCGATAAGCAAAAATCGACCCAGTCCCCAAATTATAACGTAGAAAGAGCCAAGTTAGGGGCATCTCACATTATATGAAGTCGCACATGATGTACAGACTATCAAGTTTATTTTCGTGATTTAACGACGAAATAATTTTCGTCTGTGATGAAGTACTAGAGAAAAAAAAATGGGGTAAATTCCAAACTAAAGCCAGCTAAAGCACAGAAAAATTAGAGGGGGGATGGGGGGGGATCCGTTTTGTTTCTTTGCTTGCATGTTTCGCTCCCCTCCCGGGAAAGGGGGAGTTTAGACTTGCCCACAAGTCCCAGTGGTCTACACGACTGTAGAATGAATTTACAAGTCCTAATGAATGTTGCTTACCATTTGCCCCGAACCGTGAACTGCCCGGTTTACCCATGTAAATAGTAAACAACTAACGTCGCTCCTAAAAACCCATCGTTTTTTTAATCACTTAATCAAAAAGGTCGTTGAACTTCTGACCCCTGATACGCCTGCTTTGTACAGCAAGAAGAGCGATTGTTCTTCATCTATCTTTCACTGATACATAACTATTTTAGTTGTTCTAACAAAGGCAAATTACAGTAGAGAAGGACTTATCATGGCCAGTTCGATGTTTCATATTATTTCTTTGCTGATGCTTATTTTTAATTAATAACAGCTCTCGTACAGAGGCTATCAACCTTAACAATATGAAGTGTTTGCTCTTACAACTCACTTAAAGTTTAGAAAATATTAAATAAAAATTGTCAGTTGTAAGTTTTTCAACATTTGGCCGTGCCCCCAAGGGCAAAGAAGGAAATTATTTTTTGTTTGGTTTTCAAATTTTAAAAGCTGAAATATTTGCGTCTAAAGCGAGCAGCGAACTCATTGGCCTAATGGAGGTTAAATGACATTGTGTTCAAATGCGCCTAACAAAAATTATTTAATGAGAAAAACCTCGACTGTTCACTGTCCACATCTTAACCAAATCTAGCTTCATGATGACTATCACATCTACTTAACATCTACTTAAGAGGTGGGAGACGGTTTCCCTCCCCAACTACTGGGTACATTTGAAACAAATTACAAAATGGCTGCTAGTGACGGTGAGAGCTCCATCTCGACGATCTTACTTAAAGATAGGGGACTGTGACGGAACAGTCTAATAAAAACCTAGATAAATGCTGAACGCAAGTTTTTCGCTCAGCATTTTTAAAAGCAAAAACATGTGTAACTATACCTTTTTTTTCCTTTTCGCTTGTTGATGGCATTGTGAATGTTTCTATTCGAAATTTGTTTGGATACTTGGTGTTTTGTATAGTGTTTTTTGAGTTATTTGTTAACTTTTTGCCGTGTTTTTGTTTTGTATTTACTATTTAAAAGTGAACAATTAATAAAAGCTATTAAATTACAAAAAAGAATGTGTAACTATACCGAAAATTATTGTTGCGGAGGACTAAATTTTTTGAAACACTTAACTTTGATATTATCAACTGAGTTGAATAAGTTAACTTCCCACAATAAAAGGTTAACTCGAATTGACGAAGGGATATTGTTCAATATATATACGCCATCTTTTCAGCCTTTGACCGTGGTGTCGTTGATAAAACACAACTTTATGTTTGGAAATCGGGCGACCCGCTCCTATTTGAAAGACTGTTTTTGATTAGCTGGGGAAAAAATAGGGATTGTGACAAAACAATGCCCCTATCCCTGAAAACAATGGAAGTGCAGATTAAACGGGACCAGTGAAATAAGAGGTTTAGAACTGTGCAGGTCTATTGTGAAATCAGGCTACGGAAACTGTTGCTCGGTGATTGTAATCTGTGTTGATCTGTGATAACGATCAAAGACTAGTTAAATATACTTTGCTGTGAAACCACTATGACGCATTCAGAACTATGAATGAACACTGGATTTGTCAAATACTACACTCGGTGGTATTTCACGAGGATCTTTTCCCCATCACTGCTCAACACTTCCAAGACCAGTTGCATCCTCGGAGACCCAGGGGCAGATAGTGGGGGCGAGGGAAAGTCTAAACGGGCGAGAAAATATGGCACGAAGAAAAGTAAAGAAAGGCGAAAAGAGCCCCTGGGGACAATGTCTTACCAGACCAGTTCCAAACGGTCGCCGCCGTTCTGACTTCTGATTGGTGAAAAGAAAACGTTTGTGTTTTGCTGCCCAATCAGAAGGCACAACGGCGGCGACCGTTTGGAACTGGTCTGGTAAGACATTGTCCCCAGGAGCTCTTCTCGCCTTTCTTTACTTTCCTTCGTGCCATATTTTTCCGCCCGTTTAGACTTTCCCTCGCCCCCACTATCTGCCCCTGGTTCTCCGAGGATGGACCAGTTGCAGACTTGCTCGGCGCAATTAGCACTTTTCTAACCGAACCAGGCCCGGTTGCTGTGTACATTAACTCCACATTTTCTGCTTGGTGTGATAATGATGATAGAGGCCTGGGTACTTAATCCTTTCAACTTCCAACTGAGCATTCACGACGCGGTCCAGTAGGTCCCAGTCTTCTCCACCCCATTTGTACTTGAATTCCTCCGCATTCATTCCTTTCAAAATTAAGCAGTTAAAAGTTACGATTGTACACAATAACAAGACAAACGGCTACAACTCACTTATCTTGAACGCTACCACTGGTTTCCCCGCCAAGTGACGTCTGAGAAACGAGCGCAGAAATTCCATACTGATGACGCGTTACTTCCTTGATCTGGGTAGTGCTTCTGATTGGTCATGCCGCGTAGGAAATTTGATTAAACCAATGAGAAGCACTACCCAGATCTGGGTAGCGACGCATCGTTAGTATGGAATTTCTGCGCTTGTTTGTCAGACGTCATTTGGCGGGGAAACCAGTGGTAGCGTCGCCAAATGTCGGCTGTTTTCTCAGGCTAGGGGGGTCGTTACTTTGGGAACTTAATTCCGGTGAGTTGTTGAATCCGTTGTGGACCCAGAACAAAGACCTCGGCGAAGAAACGTTACTTACTGAGGTTTGATCACGTCTGCAACTAAGGGTATCTACATAAAGTCATGTATAAAATACTCTTTATCGTCTGGTAGCTCAAAATGAAAATTTGACTCTCTGCAGTTCTCTCATTTTTGAAGTCGGAGCCAAAACAAATATTTAAATATATGTCACTTGGTTCAGCAGTAACGGTATTAAAATAACGATTTTCTTACCGCCAAAACGTATCCAGTCCGATTTATATACAGCAAGAAGACCATAACCGTTCATCTCCCAAAAGCCTTGATGATCAATATATGTACTTTGACAGTCTAGACGTCCCACTGCGGGAAAGAAAGCGATTCTTCCTTCTATGGTGTTCTGTTGAAAATAAGGAAACTCAGTAAACTTGGTGTTGTGTGGTCGAAAGGAATTTGGTATATATAATCTGGTATATATGATTTGGTATATATAATATAGATCAAATCAATGTTTATTGCAACACCCTCCTAAAGGGAAAATGCTTGTCACGTTAGGTGACAGATCTTTCTCTGCTGCTGCCCCATATTTATGGAATAGTTTGCCTGCTGAATTACGTGATATTCAATCATTAGCTATTTTTAAATGTAAGCTGAAAACTTATTTATTTCGTGCAGCTTTTACAACGTAACCTGTTTGACATTCACTTTATTAGTATGACTAATTAAGTTTATTATCATTATTATAAATATTCTATATTATTATTATTAATATATAGAGTATATTACATGGTGGCGCGAAGATGTGAATATTATTTTCGAGTGGCAAAACAATATTTTACAAACGAGCGCAGCGAGTGAGTAAAATATTGTTTTTGCCAGGAGTGAAAGTAACTGTGACGGCTCAAATTTGTAGTGCAGCAATATAAGATATTGTTTACATTAATCTTGAGAGATAACACTGAGCTGAATAGGGCTCTACAATGACAAAATATAAGCGAAGCTTTGAAAAATGTGTAAGTAAAATTCAAAAGACGCAAGACGCCTTACAAATTTCGAAGGGAAATTACCAAAATTGCGTCATCGATAAACTCACGTGTGAGATTATGGAAAATAAACCACTCGGGTCCCGGATGTAGTTTTTATGAATTTTACGGGTGGTATATTTTCCAATAAAACACTCGTTTCTATATAATAAACATTGTTAATATTCATATACATGTAATTAGTTTTACAAATTTGAATTTTATTGTAGTTTTAAGTTGTTAAGCGCTGTTGATCAGTGAATGTAAATAGCGCTCTAGAAGTTATTAAATTATTATTATTATTATTATTATTATTATTATATTTATTATTAATATGGCCGCCGTGACGCCAAGTGAAAACGCTATAACAACACGTATCAACTCACCTTTCGCACGCTGTCCAGAATGTCAACGGGCACATCGATATGCAGATCAAACAAAAACAACAGACCATGCGCATTAGGTACTTGTTCTACAGCATTGTTCAACGCCAGCGTCTTGCAAAATTTACCGGTCAAGTTGATAATAGTGTGCCTGCTCCTCAGAAGGGCAGTGTCGAACGCTTTGGCCAAGTCGATATCTTGACTTTCAAAATCAGCAACAATAACGTGGAAGTTCTTATCACCCGTTAATAAGCTGGCAACCGTGAGTTCATTGATGAAATGATAGACCCATCTTCCCTGATCTTTGACAGGGAGTATTATGTATACGGTGGCGTTTCTGTTCCACTCAATTCCATTGGGAAGACACAAACTGTTCGTTCCCTTTTTTTGATACACGTGCTCAGAGAAGCGATATGATCTCTCAGTGTGAGGCAGGCCAAGTTCCAGATCAACTAAATATCGGTCCCCATAAACAGGATCCGATTTTTGTAGAACTTTGTGAATTCTCTTCAAAAAGTAAGTTCTGAAAGAAAATCATAAGGTTTAAAATAACGAAAGAACAATTTATGAGCGTACAGAACCATTAATGTAACCTATGTGAAGCTGTCCCCTCCCCTCAGAAAAAATTCGGCCGAGACTGGGAAAGGGGCGGATGTACAGAGGCTAAAATCAATGGAACCAAGAGGTATTGTAACGAGAAACTAATGTCGCCTCTATTTTTTGGTCTTTACAGTGAGGTTCCCTTCTTAAAATGTTTCTTTCAAGTTAAAAACAAGGGTCTGTTTTTTTAAAAAAATTCAACAAACAGTAATCCTGGTGTAAGCTTTTCCAGAAAGAAATAATGAGACTCTATGGGTATTTCAGACGAAATCAAAGTCTGTAATTAATAATAATAATAATAATAATAATAATAATAATAGTTACGTTACGTTATGCGCTCTATACTACTCATAATGTGGACAGCATTCCAAAGTTTTATACTACGAGATGATAATAAATAATAATAATAATATTAGTTACCACGATCACTAGTGATGTAACCGATCTTAAAGATTAAAGTGATAAAAGTTGATAAGTTTAGTCGTGACAGCAACGAAATCTGCGAAAAAGTGTGATGCACATTCAAGATATAAGTTTTGCAACGATCGCCATTCCGCTCAAGTATGACAACGTTATGAAGTAACAAAAGATAATTATTTTGGGAGTTAAAAGTGATTTTAGGTGTTGCAGTGAGGTAGTTGTGGAAGTGCTAATTTGGTTGTAAAGGGATAGTGTAGTTTCAGTGTCTTGAAATGAAGTAGTAGTGGTTCGCTTTTTTGATAATATTTGTATGGAGAGAACATGGATAAGGCTAAAAGTTCATTTAATATAGAGAGGGGGTATAAAAATGTTAATGGGTTGGGGGGAGGAGAAGTTTTGTGTGTGGTTGGGGGCTTTTAGAAATCGGTAAGGTCGAGGGGAGGGCGTAAAATTTGGCTGTAGAACTAAGGGCCTGATTACATTAACCGGGCTGACTCGCTTTGCAGAGAACCCGGCACCTTAGTTAGGCTCAACAGAAATAAACGTTGCGATTATATGACAACCGAGCCAGCCCGGTTAGCTGGGATACCAGTATTATGATGCCAGGATCGCGGATGGAAATTTTCCAAGTAATCATGCTTGCCGGGCGGCCCGGCGAATGAACCAAGTGAGAAACAGGACAGCTGGTAACACTCTGTTCATGCGCATTGCTTCCCCGGCTCATGTGATCAGGCCCTTACTGTGAGTTGTATTGTTACGCAGTTTGCACGTGAAAGCTTTGGAATTTGCCGCTTTCATTGTTCGCGTATGAGAGAATACATAGAACGCCCTTTGCACTTGAAGTTGTTGGACTCTGTCCCTTTTACGGTTCGACAGTGAAAGAATGCTTGTTTACGAGGTCATTTTGCTCGATT